CGTTCAAAAAAAAAAAAAAAAAAAGCAAATATCTGTAAACTGACTAACTTCACTTCATCGTATTTAAATGCAGTAAAAACTGTCATTTTCAGGTCAGACATTGTAAAAGCATGTGTTACTATTTTTTTTAAATACAGATTATTTTTAATGGTCGACATGTTAATTGCCCTGGGATAGACTGGTGACCTGTCCAGGTGAACCTGCCTTCACCCTGAGTCAGCTGGGATAGACTCCAGCCCCCCTAGTGAGGATTAAGATGACTAGGATGAGGATTAAGATAATGGATGGATGGACTTTCACTTGTAATGCAGTGTTTTTACATTGCTGTACTTCTACTTAAGTACATTACATGAATACTTCTTCCATCCCTGCAACACACATCGATGCTCCAGTTAATGATTTAAACCAACAACCTCTGACTGACCTCAGGGAGCAGACGTGAACCGCCTCTGATTTAGTCGCACTTCTACACACGCAGTAATAGAATTATCTAAAAAATTGCGTTATGCTCTTGACACTCTTGTGCCAAAAGTTCAACTATTAATTCCAGCGTATGTGTGAGTGAAATGAGTGTTGATGTGAAAACTGAGTGCTCGGGTTGTGCAAATGGAATCTTCCAGCTCAGGTCAGCTTTCATACGGGAGAGTTTTGTAGCTGGGTAATGGAGTAAACCGCTCTGAGGTCACTCCCTTGTGTGTTCCTCGTCCATTAAGTACTTTCTCGCTCTGAGACGTGAAGAGAGACGATGTGGACACTCTGACAGCTGGTTTGGATCAGGACTTTAGTCTGCGATGGGTGTGTTCCTCCTGACCTACAGTTAGGGATACATTGTTTGGCGCTGGGAGCCCACATTAAATTTCACACACACACATATTTAGAAAATTATAACTGTGGAGATTGCTTTGAGATTCCAGAGAAAACACTGTTTTGAAATCTTGGCGTTTACAAAGGTCTGGGTAGATTTTCTGGTTTGGCAATAATATCAGAGCAGGAACATGACTTTCTGCCTCATTTTGAAGCCTGGTCAGAGCTGACCGCTACATTCTTCCTTTGGCCCGGAGTTACATTAAACAAAAGCAAATTATCATCTACAGTATATTTAACTTTGCCTTTTTCCTCCTTTTTTAAAAAATGTTGCCTTAAAGTTGAGAAAAATCCTCCTGATCCACATTATCTGACAGACATACGTTCTTAATTAAAGCTATGGGGTGTTTACACTGAGTGAAAGAATCAAACTGGGTGGGATTTAGTCAAATAGAAACACTCTAAATGTCCTGTGCATGATTTTAAAACAGAAGCCACCCTGATTTATATTTTTGAAAAAGTCCTCCAGTGGAATTTGCGACTCATTTTTGTGAGTTTTAACATCATTTATCAGCACAGTGAGTTTGTACTTACTGATACACCCCAGGGTCAGTGACCTTTAAGGAGTTCAAAACAGATGTAACACTTTTTTAAAAAATTAATATTTGAAGTCACATGCACAAATTTATCTACGTACGCATAAAAAAAAAAAACCCCAGCATAACAAAAAAAAAAATCCCACCATTGGTTTTGCTACTATGAGAGTTACAGTAAGGTAGTCGAAAGAATGTAAAATAGAGACAAAGAAAAGGGAAGAACCACAAACAACCTCAGCATCAGTCAGCAAAAACACACAAGCTGACTCTGACAGAGGAACGAAGTTAAAGTCCTTCTCAGATCAGATTTAACCCCTAAAAACCCCAAAGTCTTTGTACTGGAGTTACACATTCTGCTGAAACATTGTCAAATCACTCTGCGCTACACAGTGGCAAGTTGTCCGAACCAGAAGTCAAACCCCACAAGTCTGAATCTGTGTTTTTTAGACTGTCATCGAGGTGGAAATACTCAGCCACGGTGCTGACTGCTTATTCCATCGTGACAACAAGGCAGACAACTTGACTTTCACCGGAGGACATCTTTAAGTGACAGAGCTTTACAATGACAAAGCACCCACATGAATTTGTTTGAATCATCTTCTGTCTCTCTCTCGTGGGAAGAGCAGATTTTCAGGTAATCAAACGTCCGACCAGCAGATAAACATGAAGCCTGATGTGGATTTTGGGAGAGGAGGTGAAGACAAATGGACTCAAGCACATCGTAAACATCTTCCTCCAAACAAACCCCTGACAGCCATACTGTCCACGACGTGAGCGATCACACTCAGAAGATTTCATAACAGCTGTGTTATTCACTCTTCTTATCGGCGTTACATCATCTGCAACCAGCAGAAACTTCACAAAGTTGTGGCTACCAACCAAGAAACAACCAAGAAGTGGTCCAAACCCATAAAACCACTGCTTTGCTGCCCTGTTTCTAAGCTTTATGTAAAGCTGAACTAAACAGACAGATGCTGATCTTCTCATCTTCAGAGTAAGAAAGCAAATAATATGTCCCCAGATATTCTTTACAATTTTGTTAAACACTTCTCTGTTCTTTACTTTAATCGTGACATCTAATGCACTTTTCCCACATTTTTGGGGAAAAAAAAGGTAAAACTTGAAGCAAATGGACCAAAGAAGGAAGGAATCATCACCACAACAACAGCAGGATGGATGACACGTTATTAAAGCAGCTGATCCTGAGAGCAAAGAGCAAATATGCAAAAAAAAAAAAAAAGGAGAAAAAAATCACAGCAAACCCTTCAAGTATTATCCTTCATGTCTATTTGTCCCAGCCCAGCTTGATGGAAACTTATGGAGAAGATGGTTGAGGCGTGTTTTCCATTTTTCAGTCTTTTCTTTTTGTGTCTAAGCTGGAAAAACTCTCACCCACTTAGATAAAGGTGAATGAGCGCCTGGGCAAATATGTGGTTTCGAAATGAATCACGGAGTCGGACTTGAGGTGACTCAGACCGCAAACGTGTCAGTTTGTGCATCAGGAATGAAGTTTGACCCCTGTTACCCGTCTCGCTGTGAACTCTGTGTAATCGCTTCAACCGTGTCATTTATTTTTAGGAGTAAACCGGTCTGGGGTTTACAGTGAGACGACGAGAGACTGTAAAATAAAGGTCCAGCATCACAGGGCAGTTCACGAGAATATTACATAACACACAGAACCAGGAATGCACAAGCTATGTAATGTAATATGAGATTATACAGCAGGCTGGGCTCCTGACACTTTCACGGAGTCGACTTCAGAAGCAGATTTCTTAAACAGCTTTTAAAAGTGCACCAAGTGATCCAAACACATACACAAAGTTCCTACAGAAAGTTTTTTCTGGGGTGTAACTTACCTCAAATTGCTGCTGAGGAGCTGATACGGGAATGCGTCAGTTTGAGGCTGGGATGGGGAGGAAAACTCACACATCCAGCTGACGTCAGGATGTGGGAAGTATCCATGAAGTATCCCACAGAGGAAGCTGTAACTCACATCAAGTGTGGCTCAGCTGTGAGCGTGTACAACAACAGGCTGTTTGTTCAGAACAGACCTGAAACAAACACAACCTCACAGATATTTCACTTTTTTTTAGAACCCCTTCTTTGCCTCACTGTAACTTCCAGAGAAGTGGACTTGCCCTGTTTGGATAATGGAGCACCTTTATTTGTCTGTCTTCCTAAGAAAGCTGACACAGCTCAGAGCGCAGCCAGATGTTTTGGATTATTAACAGAGAGAATCTGGTTTTTAAACATATTCTAAACTCTATATAAAAGTCACACTTACCGTAATGACAACACAAATGCCCTTTTACGCGTCTACCTGTCAGTAAATTCCCATCCAGTCTTTCCTGGCAGGGTGAGGAGTTTTTGTTGTTTTTTTTTTGTTGGGGGGGGAATTCTGTTGGAAGCATTGGTGGTTTCCCGTTAACGTGATGTGAACCTGAGCCAAGTGCATTCAAGTGCAGTCGGAAATTTCAGTATTCGCCCTTGAGCTCGAGTGAATGAGGAAGAAATTGGCAACTTAAAACTGACTTTCATGGGACTTTTATCGTACTGCAGTTGTTGATTTTATTAGTGTGACAATAATAGACTTTTATATATATTTTAAAACTTTCTTTTTCTTTTTTTCCACTCAGAACCAAGTAGATAAATTTATGTTTTGTCTTAAGGTTAAAAAGGAAACTAACTTAAGTAGTTTTTTTTCCTTTTAACTTTCTTTTTCGTTTTTTAAATTTAGAACCAAGCAGATACACACACACACACACACACACACACACACACATATACATACATATATATATATTCATCTTCAGGTTAAAGAGAAAACTCAAGAGCATTTTTTTTCAATCAAATGCAAAAGATATGACAAGCTGTTGAGCTTGTAAGTTTATGATGCGGTAGATTGCGATTGCATTATGTTGTTAAGAAGGATAATTCTAAATAACTGTTTTCTTTAGATGCTTTTAGGTGCATTTTGATAATAATGCACATGGACACAGTTTCAATAGTAGCATTCAACAGCCTGTGCAATATTTCATATTTTCATTTCTCAGGTGTAATATATCAATTTCATTTGCAACTTATAGATTACATGTGCAATATTTATGTTATTTTTCAAGTGCATTATAATACTTCCTTTATTTTTTTTCATTATTATGTGAGATGTTACTTACTACGCCTGTGCCATTTCCGGCATTGCTTTCTACTGCTTCTATTGTAACTTTATTTAGTAATTTTAGTAATGTTTTATTGCTTTTTGCTTTTTTTACGCTGCATTTCTTATGCTGTTTGTTCTTCTCAGCAATATCTGAATTTCCTTTCGTATTCATAACGTTTCATCTTGTTGTAATAGAGTTATATTTATCACCATTTTCCACATTGTAAGTGAAATTACAATAGAATATGTAACTTGCAGTATGTGGACAAGGAAAAAATGGCAGGATTAAGAAGTTTAGGTAAAATGAAGCCGGAAGCAAATGAATTCATGGAGAAATCTAACACGTCGGTCCGTGAAGTCTCCGGAGTGTGAATTTCCGAGGTTTCGGAAACGCATCACGCTGGAGGCGTTCTTCGGTCCGCTAGAGGTCGGGCTTGACAGCTTGAGCTTTGTGGGAGAAACCTCAGCTGCTCCGGTGTCATTTCTCAGCAGCTCCACCATGACTCGAGTCTTTATTTGGTGTCTTCCTTCGTGTACGTTTTGAGAAAACTCAAAGCACCGGGTTTCAAGCACAAAATGGATTTAGCTCGACTTCATCCCGTTGCCTTTCTTCTCGCGTGGATAACCGTTGCAGCGGGCCTCGGTGAGTATGTGAGCTAACTTTAACCTAAACGTCACCAGAAATGTTCTCTAAAAAATCAACAAAAACAACAACGACACATGATATTAATCAGAATTTGACAAACGACTCGACAGCGGTACATTTTCTGTCAGTGTTTGTGTGAGGAGCCGATGGAGAGGGAGCGTTGCGAACTTCCAGCTTCGGGATCAGTGCCTGTTAGCCCGCAGTTAGCATGAAGGCAGGCAGGATGCAGGTCCTGGTGGAGACGGCTCCATCTGGGACGAACACGGAAAACCTGCAAATACACACGACTTTATGTCCATTGTGAAGCTTGTGTGATCAATCAGACACGAGATTCACGACCATAGGCAGTATTATAGTATTAATTCTAATGTTCCTGCTTTATGTCTGATATCCTCTTATGTGTTTGGAAGCTAGACTGTAATTAACCAAACGTTGAGATGGACTTTTATGCATGAAGTCAAGAAATCTGTTTTGCCATTATTCTGCAAGATAAATTAGACTAATCCCGCAAGAGTTATCTTAAAAATATGACCCTCAATAGGGAAGTCAAGCCATTTTGGTGCATTGAAGGACATCACTTTTAGATGCAATCACGTTTTGGCAAATGTAAACATGCATTACAGGAGCTAAAATGGTCCTTTTAGAGATTGTCCCAACAAAAAAAACTGGATTGGTTCTAATCTGGTGCACAGAGCAGGTAAAATGACACTATAGGAGGATCAGTTTTTGGCAGACAGTTGTGCGTAATAAGGTATAATTGATGTGTTTCGCAACCGTCTGCTTGGTTTGTTAGACTTGCGTTGTGAGGCTGACAGCTGTGTTTGTAACCTGCATGCAAAAGGGCTGCAAAAGCTCCACTTGGATGGGTAGCATCATTTAAGTAAGTGTAAATCCCTTCATACCTCGTGAATATTTGACCAGCGCAATCACAAATATTTTGCCAAACCTCTTTTTGTATATGAATGAAAGCCTTGAGAGCGTACAAGTGGCTGCTCGCTCTACTGAACGTCCTTGAAACTGAATGAATTTGCCAAATTTCTTAAGGTTTTTCTTCATTTCCTCTTTTAAGTTTACAGTATTACCCAATCCCTTGGTTGTGCAATGTATTTCTGCACAGCTATCAAGTTTTATTTTTACAAATACAAGCAGACTTGTTTGATAAGAATCAAACCTAGATTGCAGAAATTAGGGCTGAGCTGACATAGCTGAAAAACCATTTGCCGTTAAAACTCTTAACATCAGTCCATTGATGAATAGACTGACTTTATGAATCCCAGAGGGAAGTTAAGGGGTTACATCAGCATGAAAATTCAGCAAAGGGGGTAAACAAAGCAAAAAGACAGCACAAAAAATTAGGGTTAGGGTATAAAATGAAGGTAAGATAAAAATAGAGAAAATATAATATAGAAGAAGTCAACACAATGTACAAGAATATATAAGAGAGATACAGAGATGTGCAAATGATTATGTGCTTAGGTTGAAGCAGTACTGATTGTTTGTAAAAATCTGTTGTAGAAAAATAAAAGCTTTACTTAGAATTTAACCATTTTATTTCAATGCCACCAATTTACTAATCAAGGCACACTGCTAATAGTTTTAATGTTATCGCAGCAGTGGAAAAAAACACACTAATAAATAAACGTACACACAAATAATAATACATTTACTGTGATTCTGAAACACTTTTGAAATCTTTTGCTTCATTTGAGACGGGGAAGGGAGGAGGGTCAGATGATTTAGTGTGCTAAAAGCCACAAATACATTTCTCATAGCCAATGCTGCAGTGAGTGTGTCCAGACAATAGCTTTTAATCCTTTGACCAAATGATCTTGCAGCTTCCGTTAGCCCTATTCACTCAGATATGATGTCATGGTCCAGGCCTAATGGTTGTAATTTAATACAACGTGGACAAAGGTTGGGAGACAGACCGGCGGCAAGCAAATGTACATCAATCCTTTGCAGTCTGTGGGCGATGCTGCACTCATACATTTAATGATAGATTGGATTTTTAATAAATAGAAGCTTAGCGCTGTAAATATCAGCGTTAATACTTGCAGGCGACAGACATATAAAAATGTATTGAGCTGCTGAACACAGATAGTCTGTCGGTGCATTGTCAGCAGTCAGTGTGATACGAGAAGGCTCGAGCAATAAAATGATAGCGGCGATGGACACTTCCAACAATAAGAAAGTAGTTTAATAGAATGATCGATAGTTTCACTTTGCTGCATCAGATTTCAGTTACCATGAAAGCACACAACAAGAGCACAAAGTTTGCCAGCATGAACAAACCCCAAGCCCGCTCCTCCTCCCTTATTTACACTTCAGTGCTTTGTTTCTGTGTTTTCCATCGTTAACATTAAAATGATTGTCTGTGCACGTTCATAAACAGACAAATTCAACGTGATGTAGTTAAATTCAAAATAAACCTTTTTATTTTTGACTCCTGGTCTTCAGTAAAAATAGGTCATTAGAAACTGTCAATGAGATGGGGTTTGTGAAGCAAAAATATCAAAATATCCCCTCATTCTAGCCCAGGGGTCGGCAACCATCCCTCTGCTGCGTCTCCTTGTGGCTTTGGGGGGGAAAAAAAGAGCATTTAATTTAAATGTATTTTATTTTACTTCGATAGTTTTTAAAATGTAATTCTAAATTCGAAGCTTATGGTGATCTTATCATAGATATGCATAATAAAGTGTAGATGTCTCGTCCGCGCTGCCGGCCAATGGAATCGCATGTCCGCACTGGCGGCCATCTTGCCACAGTCCGCTCGCTCACCCATAACATCCTAAATATAGCCATAGTGTTGTAATACCTTACAGGTGAAAGGTGATCCCACAGACTGTGGTTTCAACACTACGGTGATTAGAGATCTGTGGGCTGCGCAAAAGTCTGGTGTCTTCACTCAGCAATTTCCTGTAGGAACATACCCAGCGCCAAAGCTGTTCCCGAGTGTAACACAATGGAGGCGTGGCTCAACAGCTCAATGGCTCGTCAGATGCGGACTTTAAAAGTTCGTAAGAAGTAAAAAACAGATTTAAAAAAAACTTCCTTGGCATCTCCATCGTATTCATGCTAATCTAGTACAACTACGTGAATATAATAATATTGAAAATATAGAAGAAAAAACTAAGAAAATAGCTAAAAATATAGAAAGTAGGAAGGAGCCACTGCAACTCGCTGCCACTCCCACGGCCAGCAACAATTTGTATTTTCATTACCCTGTATTTTATTTGTATTTTTGTAATTTGAATTGTAGCCACGTTAAGAACGTTTGTAAGAAACCAAACCGTTTGTAAATCCGTCAAGATTTCACCTTCCTTCACGTACCACAGGTTCCGCCAGAGAGCTTCCCTGTATCAAGAGAGACTCCACCTTAAGACATCTAGCCTTTATTATACATATCTATGGATCTTATAACGTTAAAATAAAACATATTTAATTTTTTTGTCGCTCGATGTGCGACACCCGCCGGCACGCGCAGTGTTGCCAACTTGGTGACTCTCTTGGCTACTTTTTTTTGTCAAAAGCGACTAACGACCAATCAAGTGACTCTTTCTGGCATTATTGGAGACTTTTCTGGTGTTTTAACATGTATCGTTCTGCAGTTCCTGTCCTCTGCAATCAGCGGTGCTGCCATGAGCTCCTCCCCGTCCCAAAGCGCTCACAGGCGGTCAGGAGTCTGGTCAGCAGTCCCAGCTGCAGTCAGCAGGACAACCACAGGGCATTTTTTACTTTGCTGCAAGGGCATAACTGAAGAGCAGCTTTTTATTTCATAAATACGAGGAGGGCTCAATTAGACACTGAGTATTTTATTTGAAAGTTACCTTCAACCCAGTGCCTTTTTTGGGGGGGGAGTTCAAAAGGTTTTTGTTGCATTCAGAAATAAAATGTCGTTTCCTCTGTAGCAGTTCATTGATTTCATAAATGCAACACACTGTAGTTTTTTATTTTTTTAATACATAGCATAAAGTTATAAATGATATATGCAGTGTTGTCTTCATTTTACATGTCAGAGGGGTTTTGTGGCTCGAGGTATTTTCTTTTCCGTGGGAAACGGGTCCAAATGGCTTTTTGAGTGTTGAAGGTTGTCGACTCTGTTCTAGCCTCTTAGTTATGTTGATTTCTGCTTTTCTTTGTCTTATTAGTATGCATTGAAATATTGGTTGCTGTGCTGTTTAGAATCAACAAGAGGGATTTAAGGGGAAGAGGTAAAGTGTGAATTATTTCAATGTGGATCTGCTGACACGTACTGTTTGTATTGATTGGCTCAGATCTTTTACTGCCTCCGTGACAAACCTCTCGAACAGTTAATCTGTCCCCATCAAACATGTAAGACAGAAACTTATTGGGTTCATGTGCGGTGAGGTGGCTGCTGCCGTCTTTGTCTCTTTGAACAGAGTAATGTTTCCTGTTTCATGTGCAGCATTCCCACAAATGAAGTGAAATTTTTAAAAGGAATTGAAATCCTTTCAGAGGTGTGTGTGTGTGTGTGGGGGGGCATTTTCAGCCTTTTCTTTTGCCTCCATTGAAGTATTAGTTTTAACGTTCTAAACAGCTTTTAATCATCAGCACTGGTGCGGATCCAGACGTGTTTGAAAGGTTCAATAATGGCCAAAAATAGCTGGAAATTGCTCACAGTGCAATTGTTTCTTTTACTGTAATTCGCCTTTTGTCTTGCAGGGCTGCTGCTCTTTATCACGGCTGACCTCCACAGTGCACAATAAACATCAGTTTAACTAACAGCGTGACTGTATTTGTGTGTACAGTGAGGGGGAAGTGACTCATAGTTCCAGCACCTGAACTGAGCAAATACTAAACATGTACATTCAAGTCGTCTAATTTCTGCATAAAGCGCTCTCTGCAGGTGAAAGCCAAATATCTTTTGGTCTTGGAAGAACCTTTACTCTGAAGTGTCAATGTAGGTTTACAAGTGTTTAAGTGAGTAATGCATCTTATTGCTATTTCTCCCAGATAAACTTCGCTTCATGTCTTAT